GCCCAGAAGCAGCCAGCAGCCGGTTCCCAGCCAACGGGAGTGCGGAGCTAGTGCTTGGGGCAAGGGCAGCGCACAGAGCCCTGTGGCTCCCCCCTTTCCCCCAGCTGCCTCATCTAGGAGCCGGGCCTGTCACCGGCCACTTCTGGGGCGCAGTGCACCCTGTGGTGCCAGGCCGGGCAGGGAGCTGCCTTAGCCACCCCTCACTGGTCACCTGACCCCCTGCAGTAATGAGACCCAGCGCCCGACATTCCCCCGCCCAGTCCCGAGTCGTGACCCTTATTTGAAACCCCGTGTGCTAGTCCCATCCCTGTGCTCTTGGCTGGACTAAAGGCTCGTCCACACTGGCAAGTTACTGCGCTGCAGCTTTCTGGCTCAGGGGTACGAACCCCCCCCTACACACACACCCCCACCCCAGCGCAGCAGTTACCACACTGTAAAGCGCTACTTGGAAACAGGGTCCCGGTGCTGTTCGCTACTCCCCTTGTGGAAGCTGTTTATCGACAGCGCTGGGCGAGCGTCCTTCCCGCTTGCCTGCCGTGACCGCACTGCTGCTAGGGGTGCCAGATGGTTCCACCCAAAATACCGGACCCACCCCAAAAGAAAAAAAAAGCACGGGGAACATTTTGTGGAGGGAAAAAAAAGCAAAATTCAGTTGTGGCCCCTTTAATTGACGGGCCACTCCCCTGCCACACACCCCACCCCTGCCACATGTCCGTTGGGCACCAAACTGGGTAAAGTAGAGTATACTGGACATTTTGTGTGTCCAGTATTATCTCAATTTCTTTACCGGACAGGAGGCGCAAATACTGGACTGTTCGGTTCCATACCGGACACCTGGCAACCCTAACCTGGCATTGGTTACACTTTCATCTTAGAACTGTAGACAAAGCTGACGTAACACCTAGACCAGCCCTGACAGCCCTGTGTCTAACCTGCTCTTATGTATCTCCGGTGGCGGAATTTCCACAGCCTCTCAGCAAAATAATGCAGCGTTTCACCACTGAGATGGGACATTTTTCCGAATGTCTAATCTAAACCTCGCTTGCTGCAATTTGAGCCCATCCTCAGAGGGTAAAGAGAATTATTTTCCTCCCTCCTCCAACCTTATAGGTACTTGAAAGCTGTTGTCATGTTCCCTCTCCGTTTTCTCTTTTCTAGACTAAACAAATCCCAGATTTTTGTCAATCTTCCCTCATATATTATGTTCTCTAGACCTTTCATCATTCGTGTTGCTCTTCTCTGGACCCTTTCCCATTTCTCCACGTCTTTCCTGACGTGGTGCCCAGAACTGGGCACAACACTCCAGCTGGGGCCGAATCAGTGCAGACGAGAGGGGAAGAATGGCTTCTTGTGTCCTGCTTACAGCACTTCCGCTAATACATTCCAGAATGATGCTGGCATTTTTTATTTTTTTTGCAACAGTGCCACACTGTTGCCTCATATAGAAAGTCCCCGATGTACAAATGGGTTGTGTTCCAAATAGGGATATAAGCGACTAGTCGACAAACAAAAGCTTATCAGATAATCGACAAGTCCCTCGACTAGTTGCTTCCCCACCCCTTGCTGCCTCTCTGCAGTGGGCAGGGAGCAGGAGCTGGTGCTGGGGGAAGCCAGCTTAAAAGCCAGTTCCCCCATCCAGCATCATCTCCATAGGGGGCAGGGGGAGGCAGGGAGGTAGCGGGGCCTGGTCATGAGCCCAGAATCAGCTGGATCCCTGCTCACGCCTAGTCTCTGGTTTTTAAACGTATTAAGAGCTGACACAGAAGGGGGAGGGGCACAGCACAGCTGGGGGGACCCAGCGCCTGGGACAGCTGATTCCCTCCTGCTGAGCTTTGCCCTTTTACATGGATTAAGAGCTGACAGGCTAACCCCACTGCGGCTCCCCGCTTAGCAACTAATCGACTAGTCAATGGAAAATCCATCGATTTGTTGATTAAACTACATTTAACATCCCTAGTTCCAAAAGTTCCCCTGAAAGTCAGTTGTTTAAGAACATAAGAGTGGCCAGACGGGGTGAGACCAAAGGTCCATCTAGCCCAGGGTCCTGTCTGCCCACAGTGACCAATGCCAGGTGCCCCAGAGGAATTGAACAGAAATTGGAACACATTGGAACTCTGAACGCATTTTCCCATAGAATCAATGTTATCAATGGCATTTACGTTCCCAGGCTAGCTCACGAAAGCCTATTTAACCCAAAATGCAGCTGAAATACTGTATATTTGCAATGACAAATACACGTTGAGCCTCTCTAGTCTGGCAGTCTCTGATCTGGTAACTTCCGTGGTCTGGCATAACTTTAGTTAGCTGGATGTCCACTGAACATGGGTGTGGCTGAAGTTTCCTGAGGCTCCATAAAGTTTGTTTCCAGCCACCAGTCCTGGCTTTCAGTGTTCTGTGCTGTTCTTTAGCTCTAATTACCCCTAATTGTCTTCTAAGAGCCCAGTAAGCAGTGGAAGAGTCGGTCATGCTGTTAGACAACATTAACCTCTTGTAGTTTGGCAAATTCTCCGGTTTGGCACTGGTCAGGTCCCGAGGGTGCTGGACAAGAGAGGTTCAGCCTGTATTATTATAACTTTCTTATTCATCATTGTTAATGCTGCTGTGCTAAACTTGTTGTCTTTGGTGGGAGTTTTGCCTGAGTAAATGCAAGGACAAAGAGAAAGTCAAGGGGTGACTTGATTTAAAATCTATAAGTACCTACATGGGGAATAAATATTTAATACCAGGCTCTTCACTCTAGCAGAAAAAGGTCTAACACAATGCAGTGGCTGGAAGTGGAAGCGAGACAAATCAGACTGGATTTTTGACAGTGAGAGTAATTAAGCACTGGAACAACTTACTGAGGGGCTTGTGGGATTCTCTGTCACTGACAATTTTAAAATCAAGATCGGATGTGCTTCTAAAAGATCTGCTCTAGGAATTACTTGGGGGAAGTTTTAGAACTTGTGTTTCACAGGAAGCTAGACAAGTCGATGATCACCATGGTACCTCCTGGCCTTGGAATCTATGAAACCTCTGGGGCTAGCTCATTATAATAATCAGGGCTTGACAAACGGTGGCAAAACCTACTCGCCAGCCCTACACTGCGCATGTGCAAGACCCGCATTGCGCATGCACGCGGCTCCGGTGAACAGGGCGACCGGCTGAAATCTACTCGCCACGGGCGAGTAGATTCAGTGATTCGTCGAGCCCTGATAATAATCATTATTATATTTTATTAATAGATGGCTTTATGAAGACTTCGGAGAATCACAGAACTGGAAGGGACCTCGAGAGGTCATCAAGTCTAGTCCCCTGCCCTCACAGCAGGACCAAGCACCAGACCAACCCTGACTGATGTCTATTCAACTTGCTTTGAAATGTCTCCAACGATGGAGATTCCACAACCTCCCTAGGCAATTTATTGCAGTGCTCAACCACCCTAAGAGTTAGGACGTGTTTCCTAATGTCCAACTTTGTTCCTTCTCAGGCTGCAGCAAAATGTGCCGCAGTCCCAAAGTAATTTTCCTCTTTCACTGGATGAATTTGCAGCTGGACCGGTGAGGAACATGGACTCCTAAGGGTCTCTTATCCAAAATAACTCCTGGGAGCACGGGCGGGCCTGCGGGAGGGATTGGCATCCTTCTCTAGCAGAAAAAGGTCTAACACAATGCAGTGGCTGGAAGTGGAAGCGAGACAAATCAGACTGGATTTTTGACAGTGAGAGTAATTAAGCACTGGAACAACTTACTGAGGGGCTTGTGGGATTCTCTGTCACTGACAATTTTAAAATCAAGATCGGATGTGCTTCTAAAAGATCTGCTCTAGGAATTACTTGGCCTTTTCTCGGCTTCTGCATTTCAGCTGTAAACCCCCTTTTTGCTCTACCTGGAGGAGGGGGGGATGGGGCCATGGGAGAGGCTAATCCCCTCTCCTCGCCATGGCAACCATTTTCTATTGAGAATCATTTGTTGTGGGTAACACTCCTGCAAAGCAGACACCGCAGGGTCTCACCAGTAACAAAGGGGAATGGCTCAAGGTGTCTTAGCAAGGGCAGGGATTGTGTATTTGTCCTGTCTGTACAATTTGCAATTGCTTCCAGCCAGTGTGTAGCTTGACAAGCCCTCCTCTTGTAGGAGCCTTTTCAATTGCCCCCACAGGTTCGCCTTGACATGCAGATGAGGTAATCGGATGGCTAATTAGCAGATGCAGGTTTTGAGCATGTAGACACAGGGAGCATAGACAGTCTGGGAGGCCTAAGCTGAGAATTTGACCCTTTTTCTTTAACACAGTGACTTCAGCGTAGTGGACTAATAATCCAAATCAGAGTTGCATGCGGGTCTTGGTGGCAAATAGAGGAGTAACAGTATTTACACTAGTGGAAATTAGTTCAGAATTCAGCTCTGGGATACTAGTCCAGGAAACAACATACTATCTCATCTGAGAAAGTGGGTGTTAGCCACAAAAGCTCATGGTGCTATATATATTTTTGTTAATCTCTCAGGGCATGTCTGCACTAGGAAATTATTTCAAAATAACTTCTTTCGAAATAATAACTCCTAATATAACTATTTCAAAATAAGCTCATTCCCCAAGGAAAACAGGAGTTAATATTTTGAAATTACCAGCCATTATTTCAAAATAATGGGGTGGGTAGTGTAGACGCTCCGCTTGTTATTTCAAAATAAGGTACGTTATTTCAGAATAATTCCCTAATGTAGACCAGGGCTAAGGTGCCACAGGACTACTGGTTGTTTTTAAAGCTGCAAACTAACACAGCTACCCCTCTGATACTACATGTAGTCTACTCCAGAATTGGAGTAGGAATTCTCAGTGAGAAAGAAAGAAAGAAAGAAAGAAAGAAAGAAAGAAAGAAAGAAAGAAAGAAAGAAAGAAAGAAAGAAAGAAAGAAAGAAAGAAAGAAAGAAAGAAAGAAAGAAAGAAAGAAAGAAAGAAAGAAAGAAAGAAAGAAAGAAAGAAAGAAAGAAAGAAAGAAAGAAAGAAAGAAAGAAAGAAAGAAAGAAAGAAAACTATTAAGCAGGAGAATACAATACAATGCAGTACCAGTCCACTGCTCTGTTTTGTAGACTGTCTACAATATATAAACTGTATCTCTGACACAGGTTAAAGAATTTCCACTGACTTCAAAGAAAGTTCTGACTTAGCAGGGAAAGCAGAACCAAACTCTTTCTCATCTGTTGAATTGTTCCATGAAGGAATTAATTCACTCAGAAGGAAGTTCAGACTAACAGGTTTTTTTTAAAGAATCTTTTCCAAAGCACCATTTGAAAAACCAACTCTTGTCCCACCCACTGCCTGAGAACAACATCCCCCACCCACCCTGGAGTGATAAGACCAGGACAGACCTGTTCCTTAACATTACTCATCCAGGGTCAGGGACATCAGGCACAAACAGAAGGTGAGTTTGCAGCCCTCCTGGTAACAGGTGAGTCAATATCTTTATTTGGGTTAAAGAAATTTAACTTGTATAACTGCAGGAGAAAACAGATGCCCAGAGTGGAGCAGTGATGAAAATGAAAACGATATTGACTTGATAGCTAATCATACCATGGAATAGCTAGAATGTACTCAGACTAGAAGTTTATTAACTGTCCTGTGGCTCAGTGAAACATGGATGCTGTGGATTGTGTGAACAGCCTATCGATCTGCTCATGAGCTCTTTATTTTCTACCTTGTATTTCTAGCTGATCTGATTGTCTCTGTCTGTGGCTGGGGTAGAGAGGAGATATGACACCGAACTGGTCTCATGCTGGTTTTTACCCTGCCTGCTTTGTAGCCTTCCAGGAGTACAAAGCAGTCACAAACCTGACATAATTGGCCAGCTATACAGGGTTTACATTTCTGTTATGCTGAGAGAGCAGCTAACTTTTTAAGTCTCAGAACAGGCAAAGATCTACTGCCCCGCCCCTTCCTTGAAGCCCCGCCTACATTACATGAGGAAATCTAATGTAAATGTACTGCGCAGGTGCGCAGTTCAAAGAGGGCTCAAGAGCTACTCTTAGAGCCCCTGAGATCTACCGGTAGATCGCGATCTACTGGTTGGTGACCACGGAGCTAAGGCATCCCAGTGACTCCAGCCACAGTGCTGGAGTGCACCTACGGGGCACGTCTATATGACATGGAAAATCGATGGTGCCACAGTCGATCTTCCAGGATTCAATTTAGCAGGTGTGATACAGACTCGTGAGATCAAACTCAAAGGGTGCCCCATTGGCGCCTGTACTCTTGCTCCTTGTGAGGAGTAAGGGAAGTGAATTAGAGCATTTACTCTTGTCAAGCTCCCAGGCTGTGTCTACATTGGCAAAATTTTTTTTGGCGCTTTTGCGCAAAAACTTGCCACCTGTCTACACTGGCCGCAAGTTCTTGCGCAAAAGAGCATCTACACTGGCACGGATGATTTTGCGTGAAAGCACATCTCTTGTGCAAAAGCACATGCCAGTGTAGATGCTCTCTTGTGCAAATACTTTAAAGCCAAAACTCTTGTGTTAAAAGTATTTGTGCAAAATCTTGCCAATGTAGATGTAGCCCCACTGTGTGGACAGGGATTTAAGATAAGTTGCCTCAAGCTACGTAATATATGTAGCCGGAGTTGCGTCTCTTACTTTGACTTCCCTTATAGTGCAGATGTGCCCACTGTGTTTACATAACCACAGGTCTCTTATCTCATCCTCCTTACTACATTCCCTCTGTTTGCTTGTTACACACCTTGGTTGTGACTTGTCTTAGAGTGTAAGGCATGGACTGTCTCTTCCTCTGTGTTTGCTCAATATCCGGCACACGGTAGTATAAACAATCCTCTTCAAAGCCTCCGAGTACAGCTTTGCAAACTCTGTAGAAGGAAAACAGCACAAAAACACCAGACGCTGGCTGGTTATTGGTTGAGTTACCAATTTGTAACGTGCTCAGATTCACTCAAGGTTTCCCGGAGGCTCACAAAAAAACCACTTGCCGGAGAGACCGAGCTATCTCAAGCGACAAAACATCTCACAATATTTGTTTTGCAGATTTTGCATTCAAATTGTTCCTATTCTCTTTTGCACAAATTCCCTCCTTTCCTCTGTGAGCAGTGGAAACAAAAGGTCCAATTTCTCCTAGAAACCCCACGAAAACACAAAGGATCCCATTTGCAATGGGAAGGTCACCAACTTCGTTCAAAAAACAACGCTGTTGTTACCTGCAGGAGACATGACTTTGCCTTGAAAATCTCCTCATTGTTGAGTTCCTTCCAGAGTGAGAAATCCTTTGACCTCAAGCCATTTGTCATTTCATTATAAATATTCCACACTCTCCCAGCTTTGTGTGAACTAGGCTGTAAAATCCCCTTTAAAATGTTACCGGTAACTGGTCAAACTATACATTTAACTGGTTAACCCGACGGCCACGTCAAGCTGTGGTTGAGGGGCCTCTGGAGCAGTGGCGGGCTAGTTAATTGGTTAAACATTTAGCCCTGGTCTAGACTAGGGGTTTATTTCGAAATAACCCCCCTTAGGCAGAATAAATAAGTGGCGCATCCACACTAGTCAGACCGTTATTTCGAAGTAGCGGGCTGCTTATTTTGAAATCTGTGCTCCTGCTTTCCTCAGGGAATAACACTAATTTCAAAATTGTTATTTCCAAATAGCAGTCGTGTGGACACACTGGTGCTGCTATTTTGAAATAACTATTCCCCAGAGTCATTCGAACGACTGTACTTTAGCGAATATAACCCGCGGGTTATGCAAAGTTTTACATACCCCCGCCTCCGCGGGCTATACTCGTCCGCGTGTAATACAGAGGGTTTTTTTACTGAAAGGAAGAAAAGACTGACTCTTACTTGAGAAAAGCAGCATATTTTAATTTAATAATAGAGGCAGTTATATTAAAATTAATTAAAATACATTAAAATTCATTAGTTTACTGTGCAACTAGTGAATAAGAATAAAAGTTTACTGTGCAAAAGAATAAAAGTTTAAAAAGTTTAAAATACAGGTTAAAAACACCGAAGGAATAAATGAATGGAAAAGCAGTGTGGTTCAAAGGGATTATATACCAGCAATAAGGGTTATAGCCTACTTAGTGCTCCTTAGCTACTCAGTAACACTTGATTACACGTGCTTTGCATTAACGTTACCCGCAGTCCAACTCCCGCGGGCTATACACATGCGCGGGGTATACAAGACTTTTTTTTACTCAATCAGGGAAAATCACGGGTTATACTCAGGTGCGGGTAATACTCGTGTGCGGGTTATATGCCGTAATTTACGGTGATTACTTCCCAGTGCTTTCTGCGGCTCTAAATCGAGGTAGCGCGTCTACATTAATGGAGCCTGCTTTGGACTTCCCCACAGTGGGGACATACTATTTCGATTTTGGGAGTTATTAAATCGATTTTAGTTATTTTAAAATAGTTTCCTAGTGTAGACAGGCCCATTGTTTCCCCAGTAAGCATGCCCGGAAGGCAATGCTTACTGGGTCAACCGGTTAACTCTTTACATCCCTAGTGTGAACCCGGGCAAATTTATGGCTTGGATAGCACACAGGGAAACCTGTGAGCTTTCTTTTGAGATCTGGCACCGGTCTGAATCCTGGATTCAAATTGCCGAGCCTTGCAATCAGTGACTGTGCCCTGCTGTCTTTGTCTCAGCGAGATCAGTTATCCCTGCGTGTTCTTCCTCACGCCAAGGGATTGCAGGCTGCCAGGGATTTGCTTTCCCTCATTATTGTCGATTCCTGGAGGAGTCATGCCGCTGACGGCACAGCCTCAGTGTTCCAGCAACGCCGAGTGATGTCAATAGAAAGACTCTTTAGCACCCTCGCGAGGGGAATCAAACATATCTTGATTGTTATGCCCGGTGAGCAGCAGAAAGGGTCTTTCTGGAGGGTCCTCTACGACTGGGGCACTGAACAGCAGCCAGGCCAGACGTACTCTCATGGTGGGAAAAGAGCATCACCCGTTAGCCCGGGGGGTTCAAACCTTTGGTCTCATGACCCAGCTGAAGAAATGGTTGATGCAGAACAGAATTTGACTGGAGTGTGGGCTCAGGGTTGGGGCTGAGGAGGGGAGCTTTGGGATGTAGGAGGGGCCCCAGCTTTGAGGGGGTCAGGACTGGGACAGGAGGGGCTTAGCTTTTCAGTTTAGAAAAGAGGAGACTAAGGGCGGATATGATAGAGGGATATAAAATCATGAGTGGTGTGGAGAGGGCCGATAAAGAAAAGTTATTTATTAGTTCCCTAAATAGAAGAACTAGAGGACACCGAATGAAATTAATGGGGAGCAGGTTTAAAACTAATAAAAGAAAGTTCTTCTTCACACAGCGTGTAGTCAACCTGTGGAACTCCTTGCCAGAGGAGGCTGTGAAGGCTAGGACTATAATAGAGTTTAAAGAGAAGCCAGATAATTTCATGGAGGTTAGGTCCATAAAAGGCTATTAGCCAGGGGATAAAATGGTGTCCTTGGCCTCTGTTTGTCAGAGGCTGGAGAGGGATGGCAGGAGACAAATCGCTTGAGCATTGTCTTCGGTCCACCCTCTCTGGGGCACCTGGTGTGGCCACTGTCAGTAGACAGGACACTGGGCTAGATGGACCTTTGGTCTGACCCAGTACGGCCGTTCTTATGTTCTTATGTATCTTGAATGGCTCCCAGGCAGCGGTGCAGTGGGGGGGGTTAAGGCCGCTTCCTGCCCATTCTGGCACCGCAGACCAGGCTGTCCCCAGAAGCAGCCAGCAGCAGCTAATGAGAGTGCGGAGCTAATGCTTGGGGCAGGGGCAGTGCGCAGAGCCCTGTGCTGTCTGCCCCCCCACTCCGCCCCCGCATACACACCTAGGAGTTGGACCTGCTGCTGGCTGCTTCTAGGGCACAGTCAATGGGCTAGGGGGAGGCATAGCGGCTGGAGGGAATTCCCTGCCTTTTTGAGCAGCCTCAGGCTTCAGAAGTCCGAGAGCCTGCCTCGGGGCGTTGGCAGGGCAGGCCTCAGGCTGGATCAAAAGGCGTGGCAGGCTGGATGTGGCTCACAGGCCGGATCTTACCCACCCATGGGCTAATGTATATGAGATATCACCAGCTCCTTTGTAAGGTGAAACAACAAGGAGTCCTGTGGGACCTTAAGATATAAGATGAATTACAGATTGAACCTCTCTCGTCTGGAAAAATCCGTGGTCCTGCACGATTTTAAAGTGAAGCCACGTCCACTTATCATGGGGGTGGCCACGTTTTCTGTAGCCCCATGAAGTTTGTTTCCTGGTCCTGGTCTCAGTGTTCTGGACTGTTCTTTAGCTCTCATTGACCCCGAAATGTCTCCTCACAGCCCAGTAAGCAGTGGAAGTGTGGGTGATGCTGCTAGACAACACTGACCTCCCGTGGTCCAGCAAATTCTCTCGTTTGGCACCAGTCAGGTCCCAAGGGTGCCGGACTAGAGAGGTTCAACCTGTACTTTTACGTAATGCAGATTGCTTTTGGTCTTGCTTCTGCACGTAATGCCTGGCTAAGGTAGGAGACACGAATCTGTTGTCAGGAGTGTTACTAGTTTACACAAGACGTGCAATTCCAGGTGACTGGTGCATCCAGACCCCGGGACTGAACCCGATGTAGTGAGCTGCAGTGTGATGGCTGCTTATTCAGTGCTCTGCTTCTGTTCCGTGTTTTCCAGCTCTAATCGGAAGACAAAGGCATTTCACAGCCAAGATGACCTGCATTTCCTACATATTGGCTTTTGCCCTTTACCTGGGTGAGTCACTTGTTTTCTCAATGTATAATCAGCGTATTCGTTCAGAGTTTCTCACCCGTGGATTGGAACAGTACGTCTTCTGCTTTATTCCACACGGCCATAGGCTTTTGTTTTACACATCCACATTGCTCCCAGGTTCACAGGAACTGTTAAGTTCTAGCTAAGGGCTCCATCCAATACCCCATTGAAGTCCAAGGGCATCTTTCCATTAACTAAATGGTCAAGGGAGAGCATGGGTGAAGGCCCAGCCGGGTAAGGGAAACCCAAGCCCCTCCCCTTCTGCCCAAAGCCACACCCCTTCCTCCAAGACCACGCCCCTTCAACAACCTCCCCCACCAGCCAAGCCCCACCCAACCCTAGCCCTCAGGCACGATCCTTCCTGGCTGCCCAGAGGGCTGGGGCTGTCATGAAGTTTTGGGAAGGCAATGCCTCCCCTTGCCTTGATTACCCACCGCCATGCGGGAGAGGAAATGTATTGCACTGTGCACTCTCCTCCAAAGGAAAGCACGCCCACCTTGTCCCTATGTACACTCCTCTCACTCTCTTCTCGGCTGGCCGGCACTCAGTCAGTGGATGCCTTAGATTATCAGAGACAGGCTCTCTTGAAAGTGACTATAGCCTTCTCAGTTGCAGAATTTTTAGAATATGCTTGGTTGATCCTTCAGGCAGTATTTGCCGGCGTATACTATCTGCATTCGCTTATCAAAATGACGGCTCAATAAGGAGACGAAGAAAAGACTCCTTGCCACGGACTGTAAAGGAAGGGATGCTTTATAGGACTCCTCTGAGAGCTTTAGAATTTGTATTTGATCTTGTTGAAATAGCCATGGGCCAGTTTTAACGTTATTTTAACAAACATTTCACAGGATGTTCAGTGGACCCGGTGACAGCTGCATCAGTAAGTTGTTTTGCTCTCTGCTTTAATCTCACCAAGGTACTAACACAGCTCCAAAGGAATGTGAACAATGAGGCATTTCAGGTCACTCGCCAGATCCTTCCAGGCAGTCCAGTGCAAGAGGGATCAGCAGAGACCTCTGAAAGAAGGTGATATGTAGGCCAATAAGACAGAAGGATGATAAGATGTCAAAACTAGCCCAGGCCATAGGAACCAATGGTAATGCCAGGGCTGTAAAAATTGGAAGGAAAAGAACTGTATTAGGCCTGACTTTTTAAAATAGCATAGTTGCATAAACGAACATGCAACCGCACATCTGAAATAGGCCCAGTGCCTCTACATACACGGTGCAACTCATCTGACGAAGAGGGTTTTACCCACAAAAGCTCATGACCCTGTCTATTTTTGTTAGTCTCTAGGGCATCTCAGGACTACTCGTTTTTAAAGTTACAGACTAACATGGCGACCCCTCTGAGATGTCGTAAGAGCCTAGTTATTATTGTTATTTATTGTACTATCTTAGTGTTTCTGAACTAGGATCATAGGCCAGAACTGTACGAACACAGATCCTGCGTAATGATCTAATTTGCATAGGTAATCAGATAGTAATTGCATACAAAAACACAGTTAATTTTGCACATATATTTGCAACCTGAATAAAAATCAAGCGCACTATATTGTTGGTTTGTTTGGTACAGTATATTCCATCTCTGAGGCCTTGTCTACTCTAAACGCCCCCTGTCAATCTAGCCTACGCAACTTCAGCTACGAAAATAGTATCTTCTACTGCAGTGTATTCAGTGCAGTAAGATTGTCAGGGACTGCTCTCCCATCGATTTCAGCTATTCTTCTCATCCTGGTGGAATGCCAGCGACAAGGGGAGAGTGCTCGGAGATTGATTTATCGTGTCTAAGCAGACGCAATAAATCGAGTGCTGGTGGATCAGTCTCTGCAGGGCAGTGAAGACAAGCCCTAAGTAAGCAGAGTGAGGGGCAAGATCGGCTGGGTTCATGGATGTGTCATGCCTGAGGAATGCCACGTGAGAATTGCAGTGGAGAGACGTGCTGAGAATGCGGTATTGCTGCATTTTGGGGGTGACGTCAGTCCTGTACAGAAAGAGCCTGATCCTGGGTCTGGCTGGGAGCCAACCAATGCAGCAAGCAAAGAGGATAGAAAAGGGAATTGGATGCCAGAGCAGCACTTCAAAGGAGCTTTGCAACGCGGAACCGGGGATCAGCTCGGGACTCCTAATGTGCTACCCCTTTAAAGTGCCAAAACTGCACTTCCAAGGGGGCAGCGCATATGATTAATCGTGCAATGAATCGCGATTAAAATGATTAATCGCGATTAAAATTTTTAATCGCTCAATGAATCGCGATTTAATTTTTTAATCGCTTGCCAGCCCTGCTTTGAATAGTTTCACGGCTGCTGGGATTTTTTTCTCTCTCAGCTCGCTGCAATTTCAGGAGACCACATCCCAGCTGTTGTAGAATGCAGATAGCGAGTGACATTCCGGCCACACCCCTTGTGTCAGAGACAGCCCCTATCTAGTCCCACCCCCTGCACTGTTAGAGTGTCATCCACAGGCTGTAACAGACCAGAGCATCCAGCCCACACTCTGTGAATGACTTGCCATCTTGAAGTCCTACAATATGAGAGACTAGGAGACGGACGGGGCGTTGCTCAGGTCCTTAACTCAAGCAATGTTCATGTTTTGGAAAATAGAAGATGGGGTGGAGGGGTTCAGTTTGCAGGCTTCTCTGGGGAGAGGGGACTACCCCAGCCCTCTCTCACCACACCGGTTTGGGGCCAGGTGAGAAGCACCTCTCCATGGCTGCTGTAGCTCCAGCAGGCACAACTGGGGGAGGGGTGCAAATCTCGAAGGTTCAAGTTTATCTGGCCCCTGCGATCCCCAGCCAGAGGGAGGGATGCAGCAAACTGCATTTCCCCCTCACTCCCTGACTAAGGGGAACAGCCAACAATGTCCTTATACCAATGGGGGGAGGGACTTCAGCCTCTCCTCTCTCTCTAACGTCTCCTGAGGGGTGGGAGGCTCAAGGCTGGGGCAGTCCCTGACAGGGGGAAGGCACACCCCCAGCCAGCCCCTTTCACTGGCTTGGTGATTCTGTCTCTTCTCTGTATGGTTTTCTGAGAAGCAATCCCATTCCTGACACATCCCATTTTCCTGGCTCAACCAAACCATTACATTGCTTAAAGTTTAAGTTAGGTTTAGAGGAAGCTGCCTGCCGAATTTGCTGGTCCTAACTCTTACCATTTAGGAGGAGTTCTTGAACAGACAGACAGACTCTTTCAACTATATAGTAGCTTCTTGGTATTATATTAAAATAGGGCATTGTAACCATAACGTCTGCGATAGGACCATGTCAATCATTCATATAAGAAAGCGAAAGATTAAATTTCTCTGTGTGCTTTTTTCCCCCTTCCACTCCAGTGTCCTGCGCCTGGCGTTCCGATAAACGGTATGTGATTGCCATGTACACTCTGTCATTGTATTTTGTGACAAGCCTTAAGGTTTGCCATGGGGAGGAAACATTAATTATTTTCTTTGTCTTCCTCTTTTATCAGAAACAGAAGTTTGTGAGAACAGAACCAGGTATTCATTGGTGACCGGTGCTCTCAAGTGGAAGGGGTGCAGGGAAGGCCACCCAGAAGGAGGGGAGGGCATGTGGGGGTGGTGCAGCCCCCAAATGCTACCAATTGTCACCCATGCAGGTACAGGTTGAACCTCTCTAGCCTGGCACTCTTGGGATCTGATTGGTGCCAAACCAGGGAATTTGCCTGACCATGGGAGATTGATATTATCCGGCAGCATCACCAACATGTCCACTGCTTACTGGGCTGTTAGAAGACATTTAAGGATAAATTAGACCTAAAGAACAGCCCAGAACACAGCACCAAGAGCCAGGACTAGTGTCTGTAAACAAACTTTATGGGACTGTGGGAAACTTGGCCACACCCATGATAAGTGGCCATCCAGCTAACTACAATCATGCCGGACCATGGATGTTGCCGGACCAGAGAGTGCTGGACCTGTACCTACAGAAATTGACTGGAAAAATCTTTTTTAAAACCTAGTCTGGCTGTTGCCTGCTTTCCTCGAGTAGGTTCCAAGTTGACTTAACCAGAGATGGGAGGAGATTATCTTCCTGTCCCTGCCCTTCAGAATCAGAGATCGGTTCATAATCAGCCCCTGTATTAAAGGTTCAGCTCTGTGCTATGGGAACTCTCAAATGGGAAACCGCTCTGGTTCATTTGGTGCCCAGAGTTTGTGCTGGAGGACTATGACGGGTTGAACCATCTCAGGATGCGCCAGCTCCCAGCTAAGTAAAACCAGGTGCCTTGCATTGGAGAAGCACTTGTTTGCAAAGGTGGATTAAATGAGTCCTCCCAGCCTCAACCTCCCCCCACCACACAATTCAAGAGCTGATGCATTGACATGGAGCAAACTCAGCTGCAGTACATGGGTGCAACTCCCATTAAAGTCCCTCAGCTGTGCTGACTGGTGCCCCAATCAGCGGTGAGCTACACCAGGGGTGGGCAATAGGTGTCCCTGGATGCGATTCGCAGGGGTTAGCCCTAGCAGGCCCCCGACACTGTATTTACCTGTGTGTCTGCAGGTATGGCCGCTTGCAGCTCCCATTGGCCACAGAGCCCCGTTTCCAGCCAATAGGAGCTGCAGGAAGCAGCGCAGACCAGGTCACCGCTTCCCACATCTCCCATTGGCTGGGAACAGGCATCTGTGGCCAATGGGAGCACAACAGCTATACCTGCGGCCGCACAGGTCCATAAAGCACCAGAGACCCACCATGGGCTAACCCTGGTGAACTGTGTCCACCCCTGTGTTACACACTGGGTGTAAGTTGGTCAGAAGAGGGACCCATTTGCCAAGTTAGTGGAACTCGCACTGTTTTGACAGTGTGCACAGTGAGTGTGACTTGCGTGTCGAGAGGGTGTAATGGGAAAAGCAACAAATAGGAGGTTGTGGGAAGAAGCAGGATCTCCTCCCCACACTATTGTGTGTCCCACACCATCCCTACCACCACTAAGGTCACATTCGGCTCTTCCCTGATGGCACCAGATACAACCGCAGACCACAGCGGCACCTGCACCTGCGATGGCCAAAGCAAAATTTGTGCCCCATTGAAAACTAGACTAGGACAAGCAACGTGGAGTCCTGTGGCACCTTATATATTCATAGATTTATTAGACTAGGACAAGTAATGCTGCTCCCCTGCCCCTTACAGCCTATCTCTGGGTAGTTTGCACTCAATGGGTATCCTATATTAGCAATTAGAAAACAAGTATTTATAGACTCTCTGTGGACACTGATACTTTGCCAGTGGTTTCACAGGGAGCTGAACTGGCATGCCGCATGTCCTGAGCTGAAAAAGAAGCAGTTTGTTAACCAGTCACTAAAAGAAACTGAATTAGTATTCATTTCCCGTCTTTGCTCTTATGCCGTACATTGTGGTTTCTTCCTCTCTTTTCACAGTAATGATGTCGGAGGGTCCTCCAGTTTCACTCATTTAATCTGTGACAATGTGAGTATCACAAAGTGCTGGTCAAGAGGTTACAAATACCCTTTCTTTGCCATTCCGCCTGATTTCACTGTAGTGTTCCCATCTTGCTCGCTTCCATCATTTCAAACGGGACAACATCCTAGTAAACTCAATGGCTGTGTCTAGACTGCATCCCTTTTCCACAAAAGGGATGCAAATTAGACACATCACAATTGCAAATGAAGCGGGGATTTAAATCCCCCCCACTTCATTTGCATAAACATGGCTGTCACTTTTTTCCGGCTCGGAGCTTTGCCGGAAAAAAGCGCCAGTCTAGATGGGGATCTTTCAGAAAATAAAGCCTTTTCCGAAAGATCCCTTATTCCTTATTTTAAGAGGAATAAGGGATCTTTCGGAAAAGGCTTTATTTTCTGAAAGATCCCCATCTAGACTGGCGCTTTTTTCCGGCAAAGCTCCGAGCCGGAAAAAAGTGACAGCCATGTTTATGCAAATGAAGTGGGGGGGATTTAAATCCCCGCTTCATTTGCAATTGTGATGTGTCTAATTTGCATCCCTTTTGTGGAAAAGGGATGCAGTCTAGACACAGCCATTGAGTTTACTAGGATGTTGTGGGCATTTTAACAAGGAAATGATCAGTCTAAGGCCAGGAATGTTGGCTTATGATAACTAACGTAACTGGAGTCAATGTATCTTAAGTTGAGCTTGGCACCGTCTCTACAGAGGAAGGTTGATGAGAGAAATGATCCCATCAACCTCCCTTACTCCTCGCGACTGCTAGGAGTACGGCACCCTCGGCATTTGATTTAGTGAGTCTTAACTAGACCCGCTAAATCAAACGTCGGAAGATCGATCAACAGAGCGTCAATCTTCCCACAAATGGAGATGTGACCTAAGCCTCACTGTCCCCTGCCTGGCCCGCCCCCTGCTCCAAGAGGAAGGTCTTTATCAGAATGTTTCCCTCCCAACTATCCAGTGCACTGGTGGGCCTAAAAAGACTAACTGCAGTCACATTTCCCTTCGTCCACCTGAGCAGAAGGAGTAGGAAGTAGAAGCCCCAAAGAAGTCACTTGGGACACCCTTAGCACATACTAGGGAACTAGAAGAGGCCTCATTCTTCCTTACTTTCCCAAAGTAGTAGTGTAAATTTAGGTAACAGCCATAGAGAACCATGCCAAGCTACAAGGTGTAAGAACCTTCCCAAGGAGCGAATACCTGGTACAAAAGGGCTCTTCAATCTAGCGGAGAAAGGCACAAGAAGGACCAATAGCTTGGAAGCTGGAACCAGACAATTTCCAATAGAAGCAAGGCAGTTGTGTAACAATGAGAGTGATTAACAAACTGCCAAGGGACATGGCGCTGTCTTCAAATCAAGACTGCTCCTTGACTGGAAGACTCACCTTAGTCTGTCATACTTAACCATCGGGTCTGTCATATACAAGATGATCTAAGCTCCCTTCTGGCCTTAAAGTCTATGAATAACTTGGAGTTAGTTGCTCTCATGTCAGGCAGGAAGTGATGTTGTCAGATTGGAGAAAGTCGAAATGAGAAGAAAGAAAGAATTATGTATTGTCTAGGTCAACGGGTGCTGTTTCTTCTCCAGCTACACCACCTGTCGGCGTGGAACAGTTCCTTTATTAGCGCTGCGTTTGCAGCCAAGTGTTCTGAAGTTCCTCGTCGGCAAAGTGAACGGGAAACAGCTGGAGGAGGCATTAGAAGAATTTAATGGCAAGGTAAAAGAGCACGTTGCGTTAGGGTCCATGAAGAGAGTGCAGGAGTTGGTTAAAGCAGGCTGCTTACTCTACGTCTTTGAGAAAGAACATGACCATCTCCCCCCATCCTTGTCATAAAAACATAAGAACGACCATACGGTGTGAGACCAAAGGTCCATCTAACCCAGGTCCATCTATCAATGCCAAATGCCCCAGAGGGAGGGAACACAATAGGTAATTATCACTTGATCCCTCTTCTGTCACCCATTTCCAGACAAAGAGAGGCTAGGGACACCATTCCTACCCATCCTGGCTAATAGCCATTGATGGACCTCACCTCTATGAATTTATCTAGCTCTTTTTTGAACCCTGGTAAAGTCCTAGTCTTCAGTACATCCTCTGGCGAGGAGTTCCACAGGTTAACTGCGCACTGAGTGAAGAAAAACTTCCTTTAGTTTGTTTTAAACCTGCTACCTAGTCATTTCATTTGGTGACCCCTAGTTCTTATAACAGGGCTACTCAATTTTGGAAGATCTGGGGGCCACAATGATACTCACAGTGCATGCCGAGGGCCACAACTTATGTGTGGTTGCATATATATGCAAATAGCTTCTTTCACACTGACAGGCATGAATACAAAGATTAAGGCAAGACTACCCAACACACAGGACCCATATAAGTCAGTTCTGCTGATATTAATAAAATGCAATAGCTACCTGATTTCCACCCATATGACAGCACTTTTAGGCTACGTCTAGACTGCTAGCCTCTTTTGAAAGAGGTTTTTTGAAAGATACTTTCAAAAATGCCTCTTTCGCAAAAGAGCGCCTAGACGACAACCAGTACTTTTGAAAAAGCAAGCCGCTTTTTCGAAAGAGAGCACCCAGGCAGTCTTCTCAATGTCAGCAAGGCTGTTTGAACAGAATGAAAATTATTTGGGACTATTCTGACAGATGGACAAGCCCAGTTCAGCTCACAAATGATTGCCCAGCAACATGCAGAACTAGTATCACGAGGGACAACCAGCTGGTCCGTCGTTGGTTGGGAGGCCTAAAGAATTGGCCCCAGTAAAACCCTCTGGGATCCTGGGCTGACCGGAGCTCTAGCCGTGGGATGTACGGGATGCTGATTGTTATGCAACATCAAAGCTCAAATATTTCTGTCGCAGGTTGCTAACTCCTCGCTGATCCCACTACAATGGAAAGGGTTTGCGCTGGAGGCACTATGGGATGGGAAGTTGAGGCACGAAGAGCTTTATAACAAGACCGAGTTTGTGGGGCCGTGGTTCCAGAAGAGGTTAAGGCCCTTTTTGGCAGCAGTCCCGGCCGACATACTCCAGTGCCTTCGCAATGAGACCCTGGGATGCGCGCAGTACCAGGCGATGTATGTTGAATTGGGTAGAGCTAGGATCACAGGAAACCTCTCTCCTCTCCCAGTTCTCTGCATTAGATATGGAGCCATGATTTGAATCCAATTCCATCGGTGTTCCGAGGGCCTGAACTTACGAGGGATCAAGAGGCATCTGCTGCTGATTATATCAATGCAGGGAGGGGGAGGCAGGGGAGTCAAAGAAGGCAACTGCCTTGGAGTCTGGTGATTCAAATTGGCCTGGGCTCCTAGCCACTGTTGCTGCTACTGTGGCAGTGGCTGGATCCCTGGGCCCTTTAAATCGCCGCCAGAGCACCGCACGGTATGCTCCTGGCCGCTCTGAGGGCTGCCTGGGGGCTGGTGACGTGCTCTCTGGGCAGCACTCCGGGATGACTGCCCCGGCCCCTCCCCTTCAAGAGTGTGGAGTGGGAACCTCCCCTCTTTACCCAGGGTCCCTCAGAGGCTGTCGGTGCCCTTGATAGTACGTATTGAACAGCATGTTGGATCAGGTCCTGAGTCTGACATCTTCCCTGCTTACAGGTGCGGGCTAGATGGATAGATAGAGGGGGTGTATGGGGAAGATAGATAGATAGATAGATAGATAGATAGATAGATAGATAGATAGATAGATAGATAGATAGATAGATAGATAGATAGATAGATAGATAGATAGATAGATAGATAGATAGATAGATAGATAGATAGATAGATAGATAGATAGATAGATAGATAGATAGATAGATAGATAGATAGATAGATAGATAGATAGATAGATAGATAGATAGATAGATAGATAGATAGATAGATAGATAGATAGATAGATAGATAGATAGATAGATAGATAGATAGATAGATAGATAGATAGATAGATAGATAGATAGATAGATAGATAGATAGATAGATAGATAGATAGATAGATAGATAGATAGATAGATAGATAGATAGATAGATAGATAGATAGATAGATAGATAGATAGATAGATAGATAGATAGATAGATAGATAGATAGATAGATAGATAGATAGATAGATAGATAGATAGATAGATAGATAGATAGATAGATAGATAGATAGATAGATAGATAGATAGATAGATAGATAGATAGATAGATAGATAGATAGATAGATAGATAGATAGATAGATAGATAGATAGATAGATAGATAGATAGATAGATAGATAGATAGATAGATAGATAGATAGATAGATAGATAGATAGATAGATAGATAGATAGATAGATAGATAGATAGATGGGGTGTATGGGGATAGATAGATAGATAGGGTGGGGAGAAAGAGATACCTTAGCTTTTGTAACACCTGCTTCTTTGATGAGAGGGAGAGATTAGTGAGGGAAAGGGGGAGAGAACAACGTGAGGGAAAGGGGGCGAGAGATTCGGTAAGACAGTGGGTCCCAGCCTGGAGTGTGGGCATGAGCCCCCCAGTGGGAGAGCTGTATGTACTGATCTGTGCACAACATACACAGTCAGGGCGGGAGATCCTGTGACCCCTCCTGTCAAGTGGAAACGGTGATCCATAGCCATATGGAAATCAAGGGCTGGGGAGCAAAAAGCTGAAGGAGACATCCTGCCTGTCCTACCTCATCTTCTCTCTCGCTCTCTCTGGGATGCATCATTCCCTATTGCAGAGTTAAGGGCTTGGATCTGGAGTTCAACAAGATGAACCACAATACCCAAAGGGAAGTCTACGGTGCTTTCCAGCTCCCTTACCTGAAAGGGTTAAACGCTTCAGGTAAGGAAACCCCTGATGGCACCAGGCAAACCCAGCACATCTCTGGCTGCTTTCACGGCTTCCTGCCTGGCAAAGAGACTGTGAAAGCCCAGGAATACAACCAGCGGCAGCCCAGAAACCACTGCATGTTTCAGTGCCGACTTAGGCCTGGAAGAGTCTGAGTTTTATTGAATGGTGGGGGAGGGTGTGTGAGGAGGGAGTTTTTTAACACCTCCTGCTGGCAGATCACAGCCTGTTGAATAACCTCGGCAGTGTGTGGTCTCATGGCAATTTCTAATGAAGTCTCGTGTTTTCACCATGACCTCGTGTTTTCACCATGCCCTTTGATTGGAGCTGCAGGAGGTGCGGCATGTCTGTTCCTTGTTCTCTTGCAGGATCTGCATGTGCCGAGGGCCTTAACACCAGTGCCGCGTGGCTAACCGCTAACTTTGGAAACTTCAGCAAATACGCTGCCTATCAAGACTTGGTCTCTCTGAACTCCAGATTTCATGGCGTGAGTAGTGGCTGTGGTTATTCCTGCATACAGAGGAAGGTGAAAGTTAGGAGTTGCTGGCTTCAGGCCACTTCCTAGTCGGACAGGTGCTAAAAATCTTGTTGTCCCGGTTAGCACTGAATGGCTCCCTGGTGCAGAGGTCAGCGCTTCATTGTGCCATGGAGATGAACTCCTCTAGAACAGGGTTCCCTGTAAGGTGGGCACTTGTGTGCTATTCGGGAGAAATTCAGATGCCACCCAACTAATCAGCAGTGCACCCACAGCTAGGTGTTCCATTTCTACTAGTGGTGCACATTCACACGTCTTGGTGCACATAAAAATTATTCTGCACATGGTTGGAGAATGTCTGCCCATGGATGGAGAAGTTTAGAGGGAACACTGCTCTAGAAGTGGTTCCCATGGCCAGTGGGTGAAACACATCAACATCAGTGAGCAAGGGGGATGTTGCTGTCCACGTAGTACCTGTTGTGTGGACAAACACAAGACTGCATCCTGGAGGCCTGCTGTGATATCAACCGCTCTCTGGAACATCCACCCAACCCCACCCTTCACCTGTAGTAGGAGGGTTTCTAAAAACCAGAGCAATGTGTGCTTTTCCTTAAGTCACTAAAATGGCTGCCCTGTGCATCCTTCCTACCTAAAGCAGATGTATCATCCCTCTCCCTCCTTCCCTTTTCCCTCTGCCTCTTTCTTAGCTCGAGATGCTCAGTCGTTTGACCGTGAAGCAGCGTGCGCAGTTGTCAGCCACCTTGCAGTCCCCAGAAGATGTTCAAAAACTGATGCGTTTTGTGACCACCTCAACAGTCACCGAGTACATCGATGAACTGGACCGACAGTTCAGGCGGGTAAGAGTCCTTCCAGAGTCCAGTGCGGAGGGATTGACACTGAAGACCGTGAAATTTTGTGCAAAAACCCACGGGACTATTCATAGCCTGGATAGGCTCCGCCTCTTCAGAAATATTGGGGTGCTCTCTGGATGCGGAGGTTCAGCACGACGGTATGTGTTTCTCATCTCTGTCCAGGGGTGACACATCCCCTACTGCTCCATAAGGAACGTAGGGATTTGGGGAGAGAGGAGTCCCCAGGCGGGACGCAGCAGTGGGAGGAATTTGGGACAGGGAGAGCTGGGCTTTTATTTTCAACGTGGTGTGTCCATTGGGAGTCTACGGGAGGGTGCAAAGATGGGAGCGGAAACGAGTCAAAGGGGCACCCAGCGCCTCGTGAGTCTAGAGACCCATTGGAATGAGATAACCGGCTCCCTCCCTGGCGGTTTGAATCCAAGACCGCTCAGGCCAGATCGGGCGCTGGTGTCAGCCGGCACAGCTCCCTATTTCTCGTTCCCTTTGCTTCAGGCCAACGTGAGTCTGGAGGGGGGCGTCAGAGCCACCTTGCTACAGCACGTCCTCACTGCAGCCCAGCCAATATTCCAGCGGGCAGATGATGCTGAATTCCTACGGTGGATGGGGCCTCGCCTCGCAGGCCTGATCTCGGGACTGAACAGCACCCACATCCCTCTCGTGTTTGATGGCCTGGAATCTAGAAACTGCTCTGTCATCAATGCCGTGTAGGAGATCTTTCCTTGCCGTTTATCATAGGCCTGGCTCAGACTATTATCTGCATCAATTACAGCTGGTTGGAAAATTTTGTTTTCCCTCCCCATGGGAAGTTTTGCTCTTTCAACAAAACACCTCAGCCCACAAGATGTCAGCCAAGCCCTGCCATAATGTGGTTTGGCAATGCTGCTGCAGTGCCCCATGGGAGTTGTAGTTCAGGTGCCTCATACTCTCGTTGTCTTCTATACGCCAGGCGACCAGGTTGGATTACATCTCCCATGATGCACCTTTTGGTGAACCCGTGTGATACATCACAGGTGTCCCTCAGGGGTGGGGAAGCTTTTTTAGATTGGGGGGCTATTGACCCACAGAAAAATCAATTGGGGGTCACACAAAGTGAGAAGCAAGAAAAAGAACCAAACGACGTGTCCTCCAACTAAGAAGGAGAAAAACACTCCCCACATTCCCCTCGCACCCCAGAGCCTAGGGGGGGCAAACCTGGCAGATTTTGTGTGCTCCAGCCCTGCGGTAGGGCCCGGGGGGGAGGGAGAGGGAAGGCTGGAGCTGTGGGACCCTGAACCTCAGGGGCTGGAAGCAGGCAAAAGCTGGAAGCCGCATCCAGCCCTCAGGCCTGAGTTTTCCCACCCTTGGATGGTTCCTCAAAAAGCCAATTTTCTGTCCAAAACCAGTTTGGGCAGAAATTTTTTGACCACCTCTAATATTAATCCTTTACATGAGCAGGCACTTTTCCAATGGAGAAATAGATGCTTAGCATCAAACCCAAATGCTCTGGTACTTATTCCCTTGATCTTACCAGTATGTCGTGTTACATCCTCTGATGATATCTTTATTGGGACACACTGGGACGGATTAAGGCTAACCATTGCTTGGATGGACCAAAAATATAGCTCTGCCGATCTGCTTGTGTATTTCTTGGGTGATGAAATTGAAAAATTGGGAGTCCCTGGCTAGTCCAGACTTTAGCTCTGTAGCAATGTGCATCTTTTGATGCTCCATCCAACCTCTTTGCCCTCTCCTCATTCCAGAACATCTGAGCAGGGGGAGGGTTCCCTGTTTCCAAGGAGTCTCCCAATTTTTTATCTTCCTCTCCCATGAAATACACAAGCTGATTGGCAGAGCTGTATTTTGGGTCCATCCAAGCAATGTTTAGCCTTAAGCCGTCCCTGCTGGCTCCTGGTGGAATTGCTTAGCCACGTTCCTGGGCTTTGTGCTTGAGTCAAAACCCAGCTGGAGAGGAGGGTGAAAAACGTCCCAAACATTCACTGTACTTGAGATGAGTTTGCCCCGGGTCCCAGCCAAATCCCGCCGAGGTCAGTTTGGACTCGGGATGGGAACTTCAACGGGAGTTTGATTAGGCCTTAGAGGGCCAGGAAGGGGTTGCCAAGCTGCTGAACGGGAATGAGTGAGGTGATGTATCTGCTGTGTTCCAGAGTAACCGTGCTTAATGAGGCCATCCCCGACTTTAGCAACACCACGCGACAGAGCATTTACCGCCGGATACTGCGTGTGACAGCAGGTACGACGCATGGTGCCCGCAAAGGATTCACTAAATGTTTCCGGTGCTTTGACGAAACACGGACCTTTCATTTGTGCCCTGTGGCAAGGGCCCCTCCTACCTAGGCCACCTCGGGGGCCAGCCTCTTGCTCCCCACCCCAGAGGTTGGGGTTTGCAGCGGATCTCTGTGGTAGAGAGCCCGGTCGCTTCTCCCGGGATTCCCTCTCCCGGCTGTTTCTGTTCTAATGCTGGTATGAATCGCTCTCTAACCTTTCGTCCTCTGTCTCTCCTTCACCTCCCTCCTGTCTTCTCACTCTCCCTTCCCCATGTCCAACTGCTGAGGCTTTTTAAAGGCCTTCAGCCTGCCAGAAGGGGAGTCAGCTGGCCCCAGTCTGCCTGAGCCAGGTCCCTCCCAAAGAGACCCATTGGAATGAGATAACCGGCTCCCTCCCTGGCGGTTTGAATCCAAGACCGCTCAGGCCAGATCGGGCGCTGGTGTCAGCCGGCACAGCTCCCTATTTCTCGTTCCCTTTGCTTCAGGCCAACGTGAGTCTGGAGGGGGGCGTCAGAGCCACCTTGCTACAGCACGTCCTCACTGCAGCCCAGCCAATATTCCAGCGGGCAGATGATGCTGAATTCCTACGGTGGATGGGGCCTCGCCTCGCAGGCCTGATCTCGGGACTGAACAGCACCCACATCCCTCTCGTGTTTGATGGCCTGGAATCTAGAAACTGCTCTGTCATCAATGCCGTGTAGGAGATCTTTCCTTGCCGTTTATCATAGGCCTGGCTCAGACTATTATCTGCATCAATTACAGCTGGTTGGAAAATTTTGTTTTCCCTCCCCATGGGAAGTTTTGCTCTTTCAACAAAACACCTCAGCCCACAAGATGTCAGCCAAGCCCTGCCATAATGTGGTTTGGCAATGCTGCTGCAGTGCCCCATGGGAGTTGTAGTTCAGGTGCCTCATACTCTCGTTGTCTTCTATACGCCAGGCGACCAGGTTGGATTACATCTCCCATGATGCACCTTTTGGTGAACCCGTGTGATACATCACAGGTGTCCCTCAGGGGTGGGGAAGCTTTTTTAGATTGGGGGGCTATTGACCCACAGAAAAATCAATTGGGGGTCACACAAAGTGAGAAGCAAGAAAAAGAACCAAACGACGTGTCCTCCAACTAAGAAGGAGAAAAACACTCCCCACATTCCCCTCGCACCCCAGAGCCTAGGGGGGGCAAACCTGGCAGATTTTGTGTGCTCCAGCCCTGCGGTAGGGCCCGGGGGGGAGGGAGAGGGAAGGCTGGAGCTGTGGGACCCTGAACCTCAGGGGCTGGAAGCAGGCAAAAGCTGGAAGCCGCATCCAGCCCTCAGGCCTGAGTTTTCCCACCCTTGGATGGTTCCTCAAAAAGCCAATTTTCTGTCCAAAACCAGTTTGGGCAGAAATTTTTTGACCACCTCTAATATTAATCCTTTACATGAGCAGGCACTTTTCCAATGGAGAAATAGATGCTTAGCATCAAACCCAAATGCTCTGGTACTTATTCCCTTGATCTTACCAGTATGTCGTGTTACATCCTCTGATGATATCTTTATTGGGACACACTGGGACGGATTAAGGCTAACCATTGCTTGGATGGACCAAAAATATAGCTCTGCCGATCTGCTTGTGTATTTCTTGGGTGATGAAATTGAAAAATTGGGAGTCCCTGGCTAGTCCAGACTTTAGCTCTGTAGCAATGTGCATCTTTTGATGCTCCATCCAACCTCTTTGCCCTCTCCTCATTCCAGAACATCTGAGCAGGGGGAGGGTTCCCTGTTTCCAAGGAGTCTCCCAATTTTTTATCTTCCTCTCCCATGAAATACACAAGCTGATTGGCAGAGCTGTATTTTGGGTCCATCCAAGCAATGTTTAGCCTTAAGCCGTCCCTGCTGGCTCCTGGTGGAATTGCTTAGCCACGTTCCTGGGCTTTGTGCTTGAGTCAAAACCCAGCTGGAGAGGAGGGTGAAAAACGTCCCAAACATTCACTGTACTTGAGATGAGTTTGCCCCGGGTCCCAGCCAAATCCCGCCGAGGTCAGTTTGGACTCGGGATGGGAACTTCAACGGGAGTTTGATTAGGCCTTAGAGGGCCAGGAAGGGGTTGCCAAGCTGCTGAACGGGAATGAGTGAGGTGATGTATCTGCTGTGTTCCAGAGTAACCGTGCTTAATGAGGCCATCCCCGACTTTAGCAACACCACGCGACAGAGCATTTACCGCCGGATACTGCGTGTGACAGCAGGTACGACGCATGGTGCCCGCAAAGGATTCACTAAATGTTTCCGGTGCTTTGACGAAACACGGACCTTTCATTTGTGCCCTGTGGCAAGGGCCCCTCCTACCTAGGCCACCTCGGGGGCCAGCCTCTTGCTCCCCACCCCAGAGGTTGGGGTTTGCAGCGGATCTCTGTGGTAGAGAGCCCGGTCGCTTCTCCCGGGATTCCCTCTCCCGGCTGTTTCTGTTCTAATGCTGGTATGAATCGCTCTCTAACCTTTCGTCCTCTGTCTCTCCTTCACCTCCCTCCTGTCTTCTCACTCTCCCTTCCCCATGTCCAACTGCTGAGGCTTTTTAAAGGCCTTCAGCCTGCCAGAAGGGGAGTCAGCTGGCCCCAGTCTGCCTGAGCCAGGTCCCTCCCAACTGCATCTAATTGTCCTGCAGCCCTCTGCTTCTATTTACAGGTCTTTCCCCCTTTTTGAACTGCCTTTCCCCCCCTCAGTCCCTCTGGCCTGACCCTGCCACAGCACGTACAGTGTCCATGTGCAGAATGGGTTTTTTACACGACCGCTGTTGTAAACTGGCTTGTTCCACTCCTCTGAGCCCCGCTCCCGAGCGTTAATGCGAAGCCATTGTCCTTTCCCCTCTGGCTGTTTCAGGCTCCTCCCTGCGGTGCTACGTCACGAATGCCAGCTTTGCCGTCTATTTAAGCGAGACATTGCAGGGCTTTGCTGCTTTTCTGAATCTGAGAGATCTCGCCTCGATCATTCCGGCATCCAGACTCCAAAAGGTACTGGAGTTTAGTGATGAAATGTGTGTGCGATCTTGCTGACATCCCCTTTTGGGCACATCACCCACCTACACAATGCAGTGAATTTGCCCACGTATTCAGATCGCGGGCTCCAAATGCCGAATGCAGGAGAGTGGTGTTCTGCCCTTCTGATTTAGTTCCCTTTCAGAGTGTCTTTCAGTTACTAGTCCAAGCGCTAGCTGCATCTCTTTCTCTCTCTTTTGTATTTACCAGGGACCAATCAAAGTAGCATATGAGCCAACTCTCCCATTCCACTTCTCTTTTCATCATTGCATAATGACAGGGTCAGATTTGGGACTGGTTCTGTTCAATATCTTCATCAAGGATTTAGATATTGGCCTAGAGAGTACGCTTGTCAAGTTTGCAGTTGATACCAAGCTGGGAGGGGCTGCAAGTGCTTTGGAGGATAGAGTCCTAATTCAAAATGATCTGGACAAACTGGAGAAACGGGCTGAGGTAAATAGGATGAAGTTTAATGAGGACAAATGCAAAGTGCTCCACTTAGGAAGGAACAATCCGTGTCACACATACAGAATGGGAAGCGACTGCATAGGAAGGAGAACTGCAGAAAGGGATCTAGGGGTCATAGTGGACCACAAGCTAAATACGAGTCAACAGTGTGACACTGTTGCAAAAAAAGCAAAACTCATTCTGGGCTGCATTAACAGGAGTGTTGTGAGCAAGACACGAGAAGTCATTCTTCAGCTCTACTCTGTGCTGATTAGGTCTCAGCTGGAGTGTTGTATCCAGTTCTGGGCACCACATTTCAAGAAAGAGGTAGACAAACTGGAGAGGGTCCTGAGAAGAGCAACAAAAATGGTTAAAGGTCTAGAAAACGTCCTTTGAGGGAAGACTGAAAGAATTTGGCTTGTTTAGTTATGAAAGGGAAGACTGAGAGGAGACATGATAGCCGCTTTCAAATACCTGAAAGACTGTTATGAGAAGGAAGGAGAAAAATTGTTCTCCTTGATCTCTGACAATAGGACAAGAAGCAATGGGCCTAAATTGCAGCAAGGGAGGTTTAGGTTGGACATTAGGAAAAACTTCCTGTTAGGGTGGTTCAGCACTGGAATAAATTGCCTAGGGAGGTTGTGGAATCTCCATCATTGGAGATTTTTAAGTGCCGGTTAGACAGACATTTCTCAGGGATGATCCATTCTAGCTCATACTTAGTCCTACCATGAGTGCAAGGGACTGGTCTCAAAGATCTCTCATGGTTCCTTCCAAGCCTAGGATTCTATGCTGTTAATGGTAATCCCTATCTAACTAAAAGTTATACTATTACAAGCCACATCCGGAGGTCCTTGAATTCAACGGGCCTGTTCAGGTGAGTCACTGCCACTTCAGGTGACGAACGTGGACTGAAGAATGAGGTGCTCTGTTCTTGCTCACTGAGCCATTTCCCATTAACTTCCTTGAGAAGCTGCCAGAATGGGGACTGAGTAAAATCTCAGGGCCAGCTTCGGCGCTCCTTATTTATGTTGGATAATGCTGTATTCCATCAGCAATCCAACTGGCTTGAAGGGGACCCCCCTGGAGTAAGTCTTTCCTCTCAGCGAGCCAGGGTATCAGAACCTGGCTCTGGGAGAGGCTTCAGGAGCTGTTTGGCTGATCCAACTGGCTTGAAGGGGACCCCCCTGGAGTAAGTCTTTCCTCTCAGCGAGCCAGGGTATCAGAACCTGGCTCTGGGAGAGGCTTCAGGAGCTGTTTTTCCTGGAGGAGTGCTAGGCTACAATTGAACCTCCGAGCTGTCCCTAGTGATTCAGGACACTGATGGAAACCCATTGTTAAAATTCTGCTATAAAACGGAAAGGAAGGCTGAGATGATTTCCTTGCCTGGGGTGGAACTCCCCTCCTTTCGCTACTCTTATCCCTACAGAGATGGCTTATCCCTGCAGATTATAAACACACCTGGAGATTGGAGCTGCTGGCATCCAGCATCAGGAATTTAATGACGAGCGTTCTTGAATATCCACTCTGCCCCGGTCTCTTGTCCTCCACTTCTGCGTTACTCAGACTGAACCTGTGTTATGGTATCACTAGGCTCAGTCTATTTGAGGAGCAAATCATAGAACTGGAAGGGCCCTCAAGCGGTCATGGAGTCCAGTCCCCTGCTGGAAGTATAAACATTTCCAGCACTTCATAGATATCCGATTGCTAAGTAATGCTGCCTCTCGGCTTGGTTAGGCCCAATAATGGTATCAGCAGAGTGAGTATGTGGACTAACCAAGTGAGTTATAAGATCAAGAATACATATTCCTGCGCATCCAGAAATATAATTTATGCTATCATGTGCCGAAAGTGTTCTTCTGCTATGTACATTGGACAAACGTCTCAGACACTTCGCCAAAGGATCAATGCCCACAAAACAGATATTAGACAGGATCACAAAGAAAAAACAGTTTCTTGCCATTTCAACCAGAAAGGACATTGTCTCAATGACTTAATTACCTGCATCCTGCTTCAAAGACCTTTTAAGACTGCACTTGAAAGAGAATCCTCTGAATT